CAAAAAGGGATCGAGGGGAGGTTTCAGGGGGTCCTGGCTGGGCCGAGGGCCACAGGGAGGGCGCTGGGAGGGGCTCGGGGTGTCGGTGAGAGGTTTTGGGGGTGCTGAGCCCTGCGGACCCCCCAGAGATGCCGCCGGACGCCGCCCGCAGCAAGATGCTGACGGGCATCGGGGGCTTCGTCTTGGGCTTGGTCTTCCTGGCGCTGGGGCTCGGCTTCTCCCTGCGCAAGAAGGTCAGGGCGGGTGCCGGGGGTGGCGTCCCCGCCGTGGCGGAGCGTGTGCGCTCCCGCCGGGCCCCAGCCCGGTGTCACCCCCTTTTCTCTGCCCACAGAGCTCCTGAGCCGGCGGCGGCCGCAGCCCCTCCCCGTGGGCTCGGGCCCGGCCGGGACCCCCTGCTCCGTCCCCGCCCCGCTGATTCTGGGGGGGTCCCGTGTCCCCCCCAGCCCCGCTGGCGCTCTGCCCCCGCCCAGTGCCTGCTGCCAGTGCTCCCAGTAAAGCTTCCCAGTTGGGCCCGGGGCCGTTTATTGGGGGGCGATGGGGAGGGGTCTGGGGGGGGGGGGACAAAGGGTGGAGGGAGGGGGACAAAGGGTGGAGGCTGGGCCCGGGGGGAGCGGGAAGAGGATGTGGAGGAGGAGGAAGAGGAAGAGGAAGAGGAAGAGGAAGAGGAAGAGGAAGAGGAAGAGGAAGGATCAGGAGAAAGGCCGGAGAGAGGAGGAGAAGGAGGCGGGATAAGAAATGAGGAGGAGGTGGGGGAAGGAGAAACTGGAAAGAAGAAGAAGAGGAGGAAGAAGAGCAGCAGCACCAGAACCTCGCCATTTTTCCACGCCCCCAGAGCTGCAGCCCCCCCGGCACCATCAGCATCGCCCCCTCCCCACATCCTGCACTGAGCACGGAGGGAGAGCTCAACCCTTGTTAAGAATATCTAATTAATTTAAAATAACTAATACTTTTTAATTTTAATAAAATGTTATTTTTATTTATGAAAACACCCTACAACTTAAATTTATATAATTTAAAAAATAATTTTATATTGGTGTGAGAGTCGGTTCTGAATTTTCCCTCGTCTGCCTCAGGATTGTCATTGGGGGACCACTAAGAAAAGACCGCCCCTTTCTTAAATCTCTGGCTCCAAGGGAGAAAGTCACATGCCAACAACGCCCTAGATCTGAGAGCGTTGTTAAGCCATTGTTCTCACAGGTGGTGTTTGCTGTGTGCTACACTGAGCCCAATGAGAAGAAGAAGGGGGCACCGTGCCCTTTTTGCAACAACAGCCTTGGAAGCTGTCCCACCTCTTGGCCTCGCTGGACTTCTCCTGAGTTTCAGGTGGTCCCCCCACAGAAGACCCTCACCTGTTTTACAACCACCGTGACAGACAGACTGAGATGGAAGGAGCCTCTCCACCAAGGACTGAGACATGGAACCCCCATGTGAAAAGGCCCCTCTGCTCCTTCCAAGGACTGGGACTGAAACCCCGAGCCCGGGGCAGGTGTGTGGGGGAGGCAAGCTGACCAAAGCGAGATGTTTGCCTGCAGGTTGTGACTGCTGGACCAAGAAGACAATGGCTCTCGCTTACTGCTGAGAGCATGGACTACCTGTTACATCTATTCCTTATTGAATCTGTTTCCCCATCCTCGCAATTTCCAATAGAGTTATCATAATAAAAACCTCTGAGTTAGCGAGAGACTTCAAGATCTCCCCGACGCAACAGGCGGATCCTCGACTGGACTGGACCAAAGGACTTTGTCTCTACGTTTGGCAGCCGTATTCCCTCTCTCTTCCTTTATCTTTTCTCTCCCTTAATCCCTCTATCGCATTTTGCTGTGGTCATTCAATAAAGGTGCATTTGTTTTGATTATCATTGCAAACCCCTTTGTACCGTATCAGTTCTTTTTCACCCTGAGATCAAATCCACGAGCCATCACGAAACCCGTCCGTGAGGACGGATCGTGACATCCCCCGAGGACCCCTCCCCAAATTCCCCCCCAGCACCCCCAGACCCTGCTAAAACCCCCTCAAGTTCCCCCCAGACCCTCCCCAAATCCCCCCCAAACCTCCTCAAGACCCCTCCCCAAATTCCCCTCACGACCCCTCCAGGACCCCTCACCTGTCCCTGCGCCTCCTCAGCAGCTCCCGGAGCCCCCCGTCCTCTCCCAGCGCCTCCCCCGCTCTCTCCAGCGCCTCCCGCAGGACCCGCCCGAGCCCGGGGCGGCTCCCGGGGGTCCCTGAGGGGGTCCCGGGGTGGGGGGAATAGGGGGCGCCCGCTCCATGCCCGGCCACTTGTCAGGGGGCGCTGCTTTGGGCTCGGCTCCGATTGGTTGAGGAGGGGCGGGGAGGACGGGAGTTGCTTAGGGGAGACTCCCGGTGAGTGGTGGGTTTGATAGAGGGCGCGGTGATTGACAGGAGAGGGGCGAGGGAGGCGGGCTTTGCCGAGGGGAGGCGCGCGGTGATTGGTTGGTTCAGCTCGAGAGAAGCGGGAGTAGCTGAGGGGAGACCTGCGGTGATTGGTTGATTCGGCGCGCGAGAGGCGGGCGGTGGGGAGTCATGCAGTGATTGGTTGGATCCGCGCAGGGGAAGGCCGGTGTTCCTGAGGGAATACCCGCGGTGATTGGTTGGTTTGGGGTGGGGTGCACCATGATTCGTTAGTTTGGGAGATGAAGAGTGGTGATTGGATGGTTTGGGGTGGGGCGCGCTGCTATTGGCTGGGAAAAGTCTGGGATTATTTAAAGGACTTCCCCGGTTTTTTGGGGAAAAACTCTCAGATTTTTAAGGAAAAATTCCCGTTTTTTTACAGGAGAAACATTCCCAGGTTTTTTGACCCCACATGACGCCAAATAACCTAAATAACCCCAAAACACTCCAAATAAACCCCAAAGAACACCCAAAAACCCCCAAATACCTGAAAATGCCCCAAATAACCCCCCAAAAAATCCAAATAACCCAAAAAAACCAAACAAAAAAAAAATTAAACTCAAAGACCCCCTAATGATTTCCAGTACACCTAAAAAAACCCCATGTACACCAACATAACTCCCAAGAACCCCAAATAATTCCAAATAAGCCCAAATAAACCCAAACAAACCAAAATACTTCCAAATAAACCCAAATAATTCCAAATAACACCAAATAAACAGAAATAAATCAAGTAAAACCCAAGAGAAACCCCAATTAGTCCATAAATAGCCCCAAATAAACCCCAAACAAACTCTAAATTAACCCAAAGAAACCCCAAGAAACCCCAGTTCCTCCGGTCCCCACCCATAAACAGATCCCAACCAATCAGAACGCGTGGCACTGATGACGTTCCACTTGCTGGGCACAAACTCAGAGCGCGAGCCCCGCCCAGCGATTTTCAGCCAATCAGCGCCCGGCCCGACTCTGACTCATCACTTGCCAGGCAGACACCACACACAAAAGCTTCTCACTGCAGTAAATACTCAGAGATCGCGGGGGGGGGAGGGGGGGTGTAATTTCCAGCCAATCAGAGCATGTCCCGCTGATGACTCATCAGATGCCAGGAGCGGAATTTGGGGAGGGGGGGAAGGTGACCCTGGGGATGGGCTGGGGACCCCAAATTAATCCAAAATGGGGTCGGGACCCTAAAACGGAGCTGGAGGGGCCTGGAGCCCCCAAAACCAAACACGGGGGAGGGGATTGGGGGAACCATCGGAAAGGGGAGGGAGAGCAGGGAAAAGAGGGGTGTGGGACCCCCAAATTGAGCTGGGAGGGGGATGGGACCCCCAAACAGGATGAAGCCAATTTTGTTCCTGGAATATGTGAAGTAGTTTATGGATATGCGAAAAGCCTATTAATATGCAACAGGCTGTTGTAATGGGAGAAAAGGACCGTAAAGCAAAGGTTGTTATGGCCACCAAGACCCCCCAGTTATTTTCAGGGACACCCCTTAATTAATCTGGTTTAACTACATCAGCCTGTTGCATATTCATAGACCCTCATGCATATCCATAAACTAATCTACATATTTCAGGAACTATTTTACATGGCCCGTCCTTCGGGGTGTCTCCCCATTTCAGGAGCCTCCACTGAAATGGAAAACGAAAACCCCCTCCCTTTGATGATGATGATGATGATGATGATTACATTAATTAATTTTGAAATTAAGGGGTTCTCAGGCAAAGATACGGGAGTAGAAATAACAGTTCTTTATTAGGAAAAATTAAAAATACAAATGCAGTAGTACAAACAAAAAAACCAGTGACACAGTCAGAATCCTCTGGGAATCCAGTGAAAAAGGCTGATCCTCTGGGAATCCAGTGGGCAAATATTTATCCTCAGGGAATCCAGTGGGAAAAGGTGGACAGTCTGGGAATACAGTGGAAAAAAGGGTGATCCTTTGGGAATTCAGTGGGAAAAGCTGAAATTTTTGGAATCTGGTCAGAAAAAGGCTAATCCTCTAAGAATCCAGTGGGGAAAAGGCTGATCCTCTGGGAATCCACTGGGAAAAGCTTTGTCCTCTAGGAATCAAGTGGAGAATGAGGCTGATCCTTTGGAATCCAGTAGGAATAGGGCCGATCCTTTGGGAATCCATTTCTTAACCCCCAAAGACACGGCACAGGAAGGGCCATGGAGTTTTTATAGGGTATGCCAAGGGTGGAGTTGGGGTTGGGGTCAGGGGAGGAGTTCTTAGCAACACAAGAAGGGTGAGATCAAATTCCTGCCTATTAGCAACAGCAGCATGCCACACAGAACGTGTCCCCAAAACCTAAATCCCCTCTAAAACAACTGAGAAATTATGCAACGTCAGATATATTCGATGAATTTCCTTCATTTAAACCAGTTTTGGGTGTTTTTAAAGGATGAAGTTGAAGCAGAGGCCAAACCAAAAGGCGAAGCAGCCAGGTTTGTTCCCAACATGGATCACAGGGAATGTGAGTGACCAGGGCTGTGCCCAAAGTGCCTCCTCCAGTGGGGGATGGAGCTGGAGCAGCGCACAAAGCTCTGCCCGCACTAGGGGTACGCGCAGAGCTTCCCTTACCGGTGCCTCCGTTGGTGTTGGGTCAAGTGAGAGCTCTGTGAGAAGCTCTTCCCACACTGGGGACACTCGTAGGGCTTCTCCCCAGTGTGGATGCGCTGGTGCTTGACAAGGGTGGAGTTGTGCTTGAATCCCTTCCCGCAGTCGGGGCAGCGGAAAGGCCTCTCCTCTCTGTGAATCCGAGACTGCAGGAGGAGACGGGAGCTGGTTGGAAACCTCTTCCTGCATTTATCACACTCGTAGGGCCTCTCCCCCGTGTGGATGCGCCGGTGGGTAATGAGGTGGGAGTTGTTCTTGAATCCCTTCCCGCAGTCGGGGCATTGGAAGGGCCTCTCCTCTCTGTGACTCTGATAGTGCCGCAGGAGATCGGAGCTGGTCTGAAACCTCTTCCCACACTTGGAACACTGGTAGGGCCTCTCCCCAGTGTGGGTCCTTTGGTGCCTGATCAGGCTGGAGCTCTGGCTGAAGCACATCCCACACTCAGAACACTTGCACGGCCTTTCTCCAGTGTGGATTCTCTGGTGCCTGATCAGGTGGGAGCTCAGGTTGAAGCTCTTCCCACACTCCCCACACTCGTAGGGCCGTTCCGCAGTGTGGATCCTCTGGTGCACAATCAGGTTGGAGTTCCACCTGAAGCTCTTCCCACACTCCACGCACGTGTGGGGCTTCTCCCCATCATGGAGCTGCTCATCGAGCACCAGCTCCGAGCTCTGGCTCCGTCTCCAGCCGCCTTCCCGGCCCAGGCTGGCTCTTTCCCCCTCAGATCCCCGCCGGCTGCGTTTGCAGCCCCTCCTCGTGCGGCATCTCCGGGGCTTTTCCTCCCTGTTGGCTTCCTGCGCCATGGAGCTGCTCAAAACGGCCTCTTCCACCAGGTTCTGCCGCGGGCATTTGTCCTCCCTGCTCTCCATGCTCAGCTCCTGCTCTGGGGGAGGAAGGACAAGGACAGGATGGGATTTGCCTCCGTGCCACAGGCAAGGGCAAGGAGATCCCCCCAGGGCTGAGCTGCAGCCAGGGCTGTGCTGGGCTGGGAGATGGAGCAGCACAGAGGGGAAAGGGGCACTCATCACCAGCTCGGGGCTGTGCACAAATCACAAACAGGACTGGACTGCTGGGAATGCGTCCTGAGCTGTGTGATTTTCCAACCATCTGTCTCATTACTTGCTTATGACAATGGGAAGATGCCAGTAGCTCACTTCACAGGTAGCAGACAAAGGACTTCATGTTAAAACTTATTTTAAAAGGTTTTTGGCCAATCACACAAAGCAAAAGCATATTGACTGTAGTTCCATCCAAGCACTATAAGCACATTGATGGTTAAAACAACGCTTGCTTATTTCAAGTACAATACCTGCTTGTAAGCCTTAAAAAACAATACACAGAGCTCCATTATTAAGCTTGAAACTTCCTAATATCTGGCTAGATACACTTTTCCGCGGGTTAGGGAGTTATTCTAGATAAGTGTTAATGCACAGACCATTGTTCTATTTCTCCTTACTTTCTACTTCTTATACAATTTTTCCACTGATCAATCTATTGGCTGCTGCAAAGCTCAAATCAGTTCTAATGTCTCTGAGGCTTGTCTTTTGCAGCTTTCCCAAAACCATCTGATTTTAAGCATTCCAGAGACACTGACTTCCTTCTCACCTGCCTCATTGTCCTGGGGCATCTTCCTCTTCATCGCAGCCTCCCAGGAGCTGGCAATGGGAAATCCTGGTTTGGGGAAAACAAGGGATGAGAATGTTGAGTTTGAAGTTCCCTCTGCCCAAGTCCATCTCTACAAGTCACTGGCACTCTGGGCTCCAGAAAAACCTCCCAAACACCACGATTCAGCCCTGAAAAAGCCTCCCAGGGGTTCTCCGTCCCTGGTTCCTCCCCTTAGTGTTCGGGGGTTCCCCCTGTCCCAGCTGCTGGGGGTCACACTTGGATTGGGGGTCCCCCTTGTGCTCGGTGCCCGCCCTGCCCAGGCTGTTGGCAGTCCCAGCAATCCCAAAAGGTCCCCTGGCTTCCCTCTCCTCATTTCAGGATCCAGGGGCTTTTTGGGCTCCTGGGCTCCCTTCTCCCCTCATTCTCTGTTCTGGGCTGCAGCGGCTCCAAGGAGTCCCCCCTGCCCCTCTCCAGGCTCTTGAGGCTCCCGCCAATGGCGGCGCTCCCCCCTCTCTGGGCTCCCCACTTTGGGTTCCTGGGGGACACAGGGCTCTGCTCCTCCAGGCTGCCTCTGCCGGCAGCCGCCACCGCCACCCCCTGATGTCCCCCCAAGGGGCCTTTTCCACTCAGCCTTGGACTCCTTCATTCTCCAAACATCCCCCAAAACCCCAACCCAGGGACACCCCGGGATATCCGGGCCGAGCTCCCCCTCCCTGCTCACCAGTGCGATTGGGAGGCGATGATCCCACAGGTGGGGGCTGCGAATTCAGGCAGGGATTGACAGCGTGGTTCCCTCAGCTCAGCCTCGATCTGCCTTTGTCCCTCCTCTTCCTCTTCCTCCCACTCCTCCTCTTCCATCCCCTGCACTCCTCCTCCCCCTCTGTCTTATTCCCACCTCCTTCTCCTCTTCCATCGCTGCTCTCTCTCTGCCTTCATCCCTCCTCTTCCATCCCTCCCCCTGCTCCTCCTCCCTAACCCCACCTCCTCCTCCCCCTCCATCCCTGCCCTTCCCTGCCTCCTCCTCCTCCCCCAGCAGCAGCCACACCCTCGGTGCCCCGTTCCCGCAGCCCTCGCAGCCGCGGCAGGAGCGGGGATGGAGCCGAGACAGGTCGGGATGGGCAGCGCGGGGCTCTCGGCTGCTCCCAGCCGCTCTGGGCGGGGGGAACCCGGCCCGGGCCAAAGGAGAGGCAAACTGGGCAAACTGGGGGCTGCACATCCAAACTGGGCCTTGCTGTGGACCCTGCCTGGCCACTGCCAGCCCTTGGGGCTCCTCTCGGCACATCCGCCAGGGGGGAACGCACACAGGGCTGGGGGACCCCAGCAGTGGCAGCACTGCCAGGGACTGGGACTGCACTGGGATCATACTGGGAGTGACTGGGACTGTACTGGGTTTGTACAGATATCATACTGGGATTGTACTGGGTTTGTACTGACATCATACTGGGATCATACTGGAGTGACTGGGACTGTACTGGGCTTGTACAGATATACTGGGATTGTACTGGGTTTGTACTGACATCATACTGGGATCGTACTGGGATCATGATGGGACTGTACTGGGTTTGTACTGACATTATTCTGGGATCATATTGCCATGCCAGGGCAGACTGTGATCGCACTGATGGACACTGGGATCATACTGGGATCATACTGGGAGTGACTGGGACTTTACTGGCTTTCTATTGACATCCCATTGGCATCATACTGGGATTGTACTGAGTTTGTACTGACTCCATACTGCCATCATACTGGGATCATGCTGAGATCACACTGGGAGTGAGTAGGAGCCTGGAGGGGGCAATTGAGACCATGTTAGGGATAAATGGGATATACTGGGATGAACTGGGATGGTGCTGAGGATGGCTAGGATCATACTGGCAGTGAGTGCCACTACACTGAGGCTGACTTGGAGTGCTTGGGAGGAAATGGGATCATACTGGAAGGAACTGGAAAGATGGTAGAGGGAACTGGGGTACCCTGGGATATACTGGGACTGACTAGAAGGAAAATGAGGGTGAAAGAGAGCAGCTGGAACCACGTAGAGCACAACTGGTTTATTCTGGCAGAGACTGGGAGCACACTGGGGCCAAATTTGGATCATACTGGGACTGACTGGACTAATACTGGGAGGAACTGAGTGTCACAGTGAGCACACCTTGCACATCACCCCCCATACTGGGCCTGACTGGGAGCAACTGGGAGCAAATGGCATCATACTGGAACTCACTGAGTTGATTGAGGAAGCAACTGGAACCATGCTGGCGGCAGCTGGGACCATACTGGGAGAGACTGGAAGTAAGTGGGATTATACTTTTGAAAAGTGCATTTTTTGTGATTGGGTTTTCGCAATTATTAACATGAATATTATACGTCTTGTGTTAGAAAGTAACTCTGTATTAATTCTCTAAAGTAGTGGGTTAAATATAGTTTTAGGTTATTAAAAAAATGTTAAAATAGAAACTATGCTTGGTATGAGACTTTTTTAAAGAAAGGACTTGCAGCGAGATAGCAGCCACAGGACACCTAAATCTTTCAGGGAAAAAGAATTTATTGGTCTCTTGTCAGAAGAAATGAACTTCTTCCTGCCTCGAAGCTGCTGTTAGGTTTCAGAGGAAGAAGTTGACAATGACCGGACAGAATCCTGTGTTTGAATGGAATTTATGCATCATGTATGAAGTGTATGAATATGCAACAGGCTATTGTTTTTAATGGTTAATCCTGTGCTAACAGGTGTCCTTTTTCGGGCTCGTACCGCCCAGGAAAAGGTACCCAGATGTCCGTAACTCTTTGTATTTGTTGTCTCATATTGTCCTAATTCGATTTCTCCAAATTGTTATTACTCTAATATTATTACTATTTTTTATAACCATTTTATTACCATTAAACTTTTAAAATTTTAAAAGCACGTGATTGGCGTTTTTCACAATTTGGTAGCAGAGGATGGTTACTAACACCTCGCTGCCGGTGCTTTAGGAGAGTCAGAGTGGGGAAGGCGCGCCCTGCCCTGTTGGCAGCCTCGCTCTGTTTCCCCTGGGGTGACCGACAGACACAGGTTATGGTGGACAAAAGGAGACAATAAAACAAAGAGAAGGGAAAAGGCTCCCTACAACTGCGGTAATTGGCCCCCTAAGAGTAGCAATATGCAGGAAGAACCTGGGAAGGAAAAGGGATTGGTAAGTATTTCTCAGGAGGGCAGGTACAGGGGGATGAATGTGTGTGAATGAGAGGAGGGCTGGTTGTCCCAGACCTGCCAAGTGAGTGCTGGAGTCTCCCACACTGCGTTTCCGACTTTCCGCGGTAAGTGGCCAGGAAAGAGACGAAGTGAATGTTAACAGGAGTGAGAGAACCCCCCGGGGTAACTGGGACTGGGTCTCAGAGAGGGGCTGGACCCCTCGGAGGAAGGGAGCAGAGGAGTTTCCGAGCCAAATCCACTAGGAAATGGGACAAAAGGGGCCCCTAAAAACCTGCTGGGTTGAGGGATAAGAGTGCCCAAGAGCATCCAGAATTAAAACCTGCTGGGTTGAGGGACTAACATTCCAAGAGCATTCAGGGTTGAGCAAAATTCTGCCAGAGTGAAGATATCCTCAAGAGCATCTGGGATTGGAGCACACAGCTGGGCTGAGGGATAAAAAAATGCCCAAGTGTTGGGGAAGATGAAACAGGAAAGCCTTATTGATAGTGGAACCCTGGAAAAAGTTAAAGATAGAATCCAAAATGTTAGGCTTTGTGCTTTCCCAGATCAACTTCACCTGCGTAAGCAGTATGATAAATTATATAATTGTTAGATGTGATGATTGTTTAGTAATTAAATGTAATTATTATATAACCATAAGAAGAATAGTGAGAAACTATGTTGGAAATTCAGAGAGGGGCTAAATTTATGTATAAAATAGAACAATATAAGTTTAATAATTAACATGAAAATTATGTAACGATAGAGTATAAAACATGATCATTTCGGATGTATGGTCGG